TTTTTTTATATAAATGTATTTTGCCCGAAATGCCAGAATCTCAGGTTAAACCTCACAAAATTTCAACAACCACCAAACAGCTAAAGCAGTAAATGAGAGCAGGAACACAGATTCTGCACAAAGACATAAACACAAAGCACAGAGCCTCCGACGGATCAGAAGCAGTGAGATGTCGTCTTTCTCACCCGACAGCTCGTACGTGGACATGGACACGGTCGGGACTGAAAGCCGACAGCTCGCTGATTCTGATGTTTCGGCGGGTCCGCGCTTTGTGTTTACGCCCTTTTTGCACCGATTCTAAAGCCGTTTGATCTCTCTCCAAACAATATTGACCGAACCAGCAGCAAACAAAGATTCAAACTACGCTTCACATAAACGTCGTCATGAATTCCAAATGAATGATCACAATGCTTCGAACCATGAGTCGACCAGTTGGATGGAAAGCTTCAGTTCATCACAAGGCTTCATCTCACCATCACTACCAAGACGGACCACTATCTGAAACAACTTGTCAAGTGAGCACAGAGCAGAAGTACATAAGGGTGAAGGCTTATGAGAAGTGTTGGCACTGGGAAATGAAAAGTGTCATCTTAAGACTACTTGGAAGCAATTTATAAAGACCCACCCGGATGCCCTCCATGCTGTAAATACAAAGCATGTTCCAGACGACAGGCCTGCTCCCAGAGAAAATTATGTATTCAATCTGAATCAATGGTCAGGCTGCTACCTAGTACTGCTGTTAATATTTAATCAAGTACCATTTATATTGTCAGATAGACCCTATAAAATATCCTTGCTCTTATACACAGCGACTTTACCATTTCTGGTTCGGGACCACTGTCTTCTAAAGGCTGGTAAATCTTCTGGTACAAAATGTGGAGAAGTAAATGTGATGCATTCAGGAACAATGTACACTCCAATAGTGGATTTAGTGATCAGTGTTCATGATACTTTGCATACTAATGATCAAGGAACTGACCTCACAGCCCATTGTTCATTCATTATGCAAAAATTATGCAAGTGTTTATAAGATTGGAGAAACCTGCAGTCAGCTGAGACTGAAGAAGTCTCTGGGATGAGTTACGAAACGTTTGTCCCACTGAAAACGCTACGTCCAGATGAACAGAATCAACTTCGGGGATTTCCTTACCTGGATGATTGAGCATGCATCTAGATATTACCCACAATTACTTAGGTACACGAGAACAAAGGGACAGCAAGTCAGTTTCTTACAGAGGAAGAAATAAACAAATAATTATACGGCAATTAATTTTAAGCAGTGTGTAATTATTCAGAAAAAGACGGAAAGATACGTCACATCTTTCTACATTTTATTTTTCATAGGATTCATTTAATCTTTAACATACTGCCTGGATAAAATGACGAAAATATATGACTTACAATAAAAATATTTTTACTGCAACATAACAAAAAATGAAGGTTTGTGTCTTCATGGAGCAAAACACACTCACATCCTGTAAGAAAACAGACCACTGAAAACATTAAATATATTCTTACCCA